TGACATTGCTGATCTTTCTATAAAAGAATAACCACACACATTTAAAAATTGAAAAACCCCAGCTTGTTTTGTTTTGTTTTGTTTTGTTTTAGCTATGAGGCAGTCATCAGCTTTATGCTGGATGGATGATACATTTTATTTATAGAGCATCTTCTCTTTCTCCTTCATCAGTTTACACTTATATAAAAGTCTGATCTGGAAAATTTCAAAAGATTAAGTCATTTATTTCTAATAACTCCCAGATACCTAAGAAAGTCTCAAACCTTAATTCAGTGATTAGCTTGGCAGAGTAAAACATTACTGTAAGACAATTGCACAATAGATCTTAGAGGAATTTGGAAACACAGTTGATTCTACAGATGAGCTTCAGGAACCCTTGGTGAACTTTGTGGTTACATAGGATCCTGAATGGTGAATGGTTATGAGGAATAAAAGGAACACCAGAAGTGAAAGTAGATTTCAAAACCAAATTTTATCATTTTCATATTTTTTCTTTAGTCTGATGTGATAGAATGGAGAAAAAAAAATCTCAGAAGAAAGCTATGTTTTAGATCCTTATTACCATGATATTGAGAAGTTCAAACCCAGGAGTTTTTATGGCAAGATATAGTTTACATTTTTTATCCTCTCCCAAATAATTTATGTAATATTTCTGAAGCACTTAGGTGTGGATGCCATAAATTGACTAACCAGCTGAGTGGTTTTTTTATGCCTGGCAAATTTCTTTGCCATTTTTAAGTGACTAATAATCTATGTTATACTTTTAAGAGCTTGAGGTCTTAAAGATAGCTGAAACCCAGAAAAAGCATCTGAGCTTTTAAAAGCAATAATCAAAATGGAAAAAGGGATAGGGAATGGAACTATTAAATCTTATAAGTTTCAATGAAATAAAATTGAATATTAGGCAGTCATTTTAGTTTTCTGTTTTCAAACCAATGTCTGGATGAATTCTAGGTCATCTTGCTTAACAAAAATTTTAACAGAAGTAGATTTTTCTGGTTTCTATAAGAATATAAGTTCTGAAAAAAAGTACAGAAATAAAATTTAAAATTTTCCTAAAACTAATCAGTGGGAAGGGGAAAGACAAAAGGAAAGGGTGTTCAAGGGTGAATGCTGTAGAAATATTATTTACTTATGTATGAAAATGGAAAAATGAGACCTGCTAAAACTATTCCAGGAATGGGGGGAGAGGGAGATAAAGGAGAAAGATGGAAGGGGTGAATTTGATTATGTTATATTGTAAGAACTTTAGTAAATATCACAATGTAACCCCAATATAACAATAATATAATAAAAAATGTGTCCCCCATTCCACAATGGTATGCCTTAAAAAATATTTCATGGAACAATTTTCATGATACCATAGAATGTAATGTATTTAAATTGAGGAAATAAAACCTCAGACTATTAAAAAACTTCCCAAAACTATACAAAAACCCGTTTGTAGTTAAAGTTTTATAACTAAAACTAGCAAAACAGAAACACACAAATATAGCTCTACTTAAGAGATGACTAGAAGAAATAATTAGTAAAAGTTCAAGAGACACAGAAAAGTAAAGAGAGATTGTGGCGTAAAGATGAGAAAGCCGCGAAGTGAGCAAGGTAATTTTGGTGGAGCTGAATGCTTATGAGATGAGGTAGATGCTGATTAAAAGATCAACAACATTTTGAATCCTGTAGTAAAAAAACAAAGACTCATAATTTAAAGGCTTGTAATTTTAAGAGGCATCAAGCAATGAGAATATAAAATTCAGGAAGCATATGAAAAATTGAGATAACTTAGTCATTGTTACAGTGTAAATAACTATTTGTCTTGGAAAGAGAAACACTAATTTTGTGCAATATTTTATCTAATAGACTCCCATACACTAATCCAGTTTCACAGCTTTGATTCTCCCATTTTAGATGACACCTAAGTTTCTTTCCGTAACTGAGGTACCTCAGTTCACCACCAATAAGACATTTCCAAATGTGTACTGGAAATTTAAATGCACTTCAAACTTCCCAATGACCCCGTCTAGATTTCATTTAACTTTCCCCTTCTTCTGAGGTAAATCTTGTACACCTTTAACATATTCCTGTTCTTGATTATTTTACTTTAGGCAGCACTGGGGTTTGAATTCAGGGCCTCACTCTTGCTAGGCAGTTGTTCTACCAGATGAGCCACTCTGCCAGCCCAACATATTCCTGTACTTTATCAATATGGATAGTTGCCAAATTCTGACAAATATTCTATCATGTAAACATTCTCACATTCCTCATTTTTTTCCATTGTCAAGTATCCTGTTACTCCATTTTCATGGATTATAATAGTTTATTTCCTCACTGGTTCTTCCCTTTCATTTTCTCCCTACTTTCAACTATGATCATATCATGAGTCCTCACGTTAGTAATTGTCACACAATAAAGACAAAAACCTCTCTTTTAACTAGCCCTGAAAGTGTTATAGAATCTGAATTCCTCTGCTTTATTTACCCTCTAAGGTTTAATAGTTCTTGATTCCCCATCTTTATTCATACACGTATTCGACAAATATTGTCTACCATGCTAGGCACCATGCTATATTCTGGGTTTAAAAAGCAATAAATAATGATGCAGTCTCAGACTGTAACATAAGTAGAAGCAAAAAGAATAATAAAGATGTCTAATGTAGGGCCATATTAGAGTTGGCCATGGAAGACTTCATTAAAGAGGAGATGTCAGAATGAAGTGGGAAAGTTTGAGTAACAGATCCCTGGAGAGACTTGAGATGGACATGTGAGGCAAAAAGAACAGATCATGTGAGGACATGGAACAGCCTGAAGGAATCTGGTGTGTTCACAGAACCTAAGCAGTTTGGAAGGAGGAGAACACAGGTTATCTGTTTAAGAGTGACATGAGTTGTTGGGGAGAGAGTTGGCTTAAGGTAGAGGCACATACAATTTATTTACATAAACATGAGAAAAGACAGAGATGCAGCACAGATGAAGAGTTCACAAATGTGATGATGGAATTATAAACACTGTTTTCTAATGCCTTCCATTTTCTCAGTGGAATGGGAAGTTTATCAGTTAAGAGTGAGGATGGGCCAGATGGTGCTGAAGATTCAAGGGGAAAAAAACATGAAATCATTTTCCTAGGAGAATTATAAAACATCAACAGAGGATGGGAGCTTTTTTTAAAAAAATCTTATTCTTCTGAAAGCATCGTCTCAATTGACACTTTCCTGTGATCCAATGGGTCATACACACTTCCCTTAATTTTTATTTCTAATCAGAAAAATCTGATAATGTGCTCTGGAAGGTTAAATTTTTAAAATATTTTTACCATGAAGATAGCACACAGTTCAGTGACAGTCTGCAGCAACAGGACTGTTAAAGCACAAATTCCCAGGCCCTTCCAGGAATTCAAAATCACTGATCTCACAACCTGAGTATTTAATTAGCACTTTTAGGTGATTTGGAATAAATCACACTTGAGGAATCCCCAATACAGAAGACAAAAATCTCTGTACCTGTGTGTGATATCAAGGGTCATTCTTATTGCTACCTCTCTACTATCAGTCAAGGTTCTCTAAAGAAACATATCAAATAGGAGATTGAGAGATATCCCATAGGCAGAGCTAAAGATATCTAACTAACCCACTAATTAACTAACTAACTAAAAACTAACTATATATACCAACTGTATAATACCAACACATAGTGGAGAGGGAGAAGAGGGTGGGGAAGGAGGGCAGGGTAGAGAAATGACCCAAACAATGTATGCACATGTGAATAAATGAATAAAAAAATACCAATACATACATATATGTATTATATACATATACATATACCCAACAGAACAAGCTAGTGGATTAGAAACTCAGGAAAGATTTCTATGATATAGTATCAAGGCAGAATTTTTTCTTCTCAGCTGGCTATGGTTTTGTACACCTGTAATCCCACCATCCAGGAGGCTGAGGCAGGAAGAACTTAGTTCAAGATCAGCCTGGGATACATAGCAAGACCCTCTCTCAAAAAACAAGAAAAAGAAAAACAAAACAGAATTCTTTCTTCTCTCAAAGTGTAGGTTTTCACTTTTAAGGCCTTCAACTGACTATTTGAAACTCATCTATATTATCAGTTAGTCTCCTTTACTTAAAGTCCACTGATTATAACTGTTAATCCCAGTTAAGGTAGACCTTTATAATAATATCTAGACTAGTGTTTGCATAACTTAGCCTAGCCAAAGTTGACATGCAAAAATAACTATCACATTTTCTAATTTCATCTTTGGCCAATTCATGACTCAATTTGCTACAAACAAAAAAAGATTGAGCCACTGATCATAGAATGCTGCATGTTGTTCTTTCTTCTAGACTATCTTTTATGTCTCTGTGTGAAATTCCCATAGGCCCTTATCTCATTAGGCTGAAGCTCTGAACCAATATTTGTTGTCTAAAAGAAACACAATGAAAACAACTAACTTACTGTAGATTCATCATGGCATGCTTTTATATAAGATTTCTTTGACTACAGAAATAAATAAGCTACTGAAATAGACATACATTGCTCTAACTCAATATAGCATTTCATATTTTTATGTGTTCTTTGGACATAATAAGGGTATAATAAATGACCATTACTTTAAAAAATTGTGATGGGCCTTAGTCATAAAGAGTTTCTAAGACATTTCTTTTCCCCTCTCCTCCCTTCAACCTGACAAAATCTTTACTTATTGATACAAACTCTGTTAGTATCCATATTTCATGGGAGGGAGCCAGGTCCCAAGTACAGATAAGTTGGACCAACCAACATATTCTAGAAAAATAATTTTACATCATGGACCTGAAAGTGAATAAAACTCAATAGTATGAGCTCAATTATCAGCTTGAAAGGAAGCAAATTTTTCCTACCTTCCCTCTCTTCCTTCTGTAGCTTTTGTCACTACTGTGCCTAATTATGAAGCTGTACAGAGGGAAGCAAGAGGAAAGTAGTATAGCTTTGAAAAGATTGTGATTTTTCTCTGAAATATTTTTCATGTTCATATCCTTCATTTTCAGACCAGTCACAGCTTCCCGCAGTTCTTTATCACTATGGATGATTGCCCTCATTGTGTTTGGAGTGTTGGCAATCCTTGGAGTAACTATTGGTCTCCTCATTCATTTTCTGGCAGTAGGTTGGTATATATTTGTATTTATTTCATTTTGCCATAATATTTACATATCTATGAAAGGTAAAAAGTAATCACAAAATGTCATTTATCTCCCTTTAAAATGGCATCAGCGGTTCAAGATCTTATAAATAAACATTATTAACATTGCAAAACACTACATTCCAGACATCCTTCTAAATATACACAGGTAAAGGAATGGAATGGATATCCATTCAGAGACATTAATGCATATATATAGTTGATAAATAGGCAGAAAAATAGTTCTATTAAGAAGCTACTATATGTGTTCTTTTATAATTAACATACTATGTGAAGAAGAGAAACCAAGGGATATTGTATTTCAATTAATTATTTCTTCATAGCAAAAACATTAATATAAAAATCCCATCTACATAGATTTTCTAAAAATTTTGATGTAAGGAAAGAAAGTTGGAGTCAGTTTTTAAATGTTATGTATTTCAACTTTAGAGATTATATCATTTATGATATAATCATATAAAATATATACTATAAAATAAATCAGCATAATCGTACTTCTCCCACACTTTCAAATAGTTTGTTAGCAATTTTTAGCACTTTTTTATATATATGTGGCATAAACTCACCATAATATCCTTTTTCCATGGCTTTAACATGCTTAGATGCTTTTTTTGCCTTGAAAGATAGATATACTAATAATATAGAGTCAAATAATCAAAGCTTTTAATGAAAAATTCAATCCCTCCTCCAATATGCCTTTTTGCTATTTATCAAAGACAACCACTTTAAACTCCTTCAGATGATTCTTAATATTTCCATACCCTGTTTTTTAGTTACTGGCATTATCTATTGCTATGGAAAATGAGGATACTATATTCATTCATACCCTAGCTACAATAGAGTTCACCTTAGGACTTTTTTCAGCATATTACAAGGATTCCCCTTCTACTAGTTCTTGAGTTTAATCCCTTAATGCCTGGATTACATATTTCCTTTCTATTATTTTATTTACTCAATTTTAGTGGAGTATGTATCTTCCAGAAACTTTCTAGGAAAGGATTGCAATGGTAGGCACACATTTTTGACAACTCATTTTGGCAACTTATGTCCTTAATATTGATTGAGAACATACAATTCTAGTTGGAAAAAAATTTCCCTCTGAATTTTGACAATAATGTTTCATCATCTTTTTGTTTTCACAGTTTCTATCAAGAAGTCTAGTGATATTTCAATTCTAGAGTTTTTGAGTGAAATCTCTTTTCTTATCCCTACCCCCCACCTTCTCAAACCTTACTGTATTGTTTTTCTTTGTCCACAGTATTTTGAAATTTCATGGTAATGTGACATAGTTTAAAATATCCTTATATCCATGTGTGGACATTTAGTAGATCATTTCAGTTTGAAAACTCATTTATTAATTTCCTGGAAATTTTCTTACTTTTTTTCTTTGATGGTTGCTGATATTATTCTTTCAAGACCTCCTGCAGAGTTCAGATTAGACCTCCTAACTATGTTCTCTAATTTTCTTGTTTTCCTTCTTTATTTTCTATTCTTTAGTCTTTTTTAAATATAAAATCATTTAGTGATTTTCTCAAGCTTGTTTCCAAATTATTATATGTTTCATTTTTATTTTTTAAATATTTAGATGTTCCTTTATGTAATATCTTCACCTTATTTCTTATAAAAATCTTTTCTGAATATAATAATGTTTTAAAATATTTTGCCTGAATCTCTTTCCTCCAATATTTTCTCTGCTTATTTGGACAAGTTTCATGTTCAATGCTTTTCTCATGTGCCAATTCTTTGTTGTCTTTTAATATTTAATATTGGTGATCAAAGAACTAACTGGAAATTCTTCATGAGTGTTGTGGGGGGTGCTTTTTGACAATGACAAGTGCCTTTTGACAGTATCTATAACATATTAGAGATAAGATGTGACATATAGCAAATAAGTTAGTATTTGTGAAAATTTAGGAAGAAAATGTAGTGGATTAGCTGTAGACTTCAGAGTCAAATTGAGTTTTGATAGTTGGCTCTTCTTAGTAGCAATATGATATTGGGAAAGTTACTTAATCACTGTAAGGCTACATTGCTTCTAAAAAGTTAGTATACTTCAGAAGGTCATTCTAAATTATCTCAATGTGTTAGATATTTAATAATTTTCAAAATTTATAATTTGGTAATTGATTAAACAAAAATCTTATTATAGTATATAGTCTTTTCTGTGTCAATCAAGATGCTATTCTTTTTTATGACCTCTGGTTTGTGTGTGTGTGTGTATGGTATGTGTGTGTGTAAGTGTGTGAATGTGTAAGTAATGCATTATTGGTCCTACAACCACTTTCACAATGCCTATTTTACCTAATCAACTGTATCAGAAAGATCCACATTATCAAAATCTAAACTAGCAAAAGTGTTATGTTTTTCTTTATATCTTTTATCTTCTACAAAACTAGAGAACAGGAGGATGGAACAGGTTCTGGGGGGACAAGTTGGCACCAGTGGGAATGGAGAGGTGATGGGGAAAGGGAGTAGGAGGATGAATACTGTGCAAATAATGTGGATACATGTATATAAATGCAAAAGTGACATCTGTTGAAACTGTTCCAGTAATTGAGGGAGGAAGGATGAAGAAAAGCAGTGGAGGGAATGAATTCAAATATGATATACTTGATACATTGTAAGAACTTTTGTAAATGTAAATGCCACAATGTCCCACCACCTAGCACATCAATAAAGAAAAAATATAATGGGCACAATACATATTAGTTGAAATTATAATGCAATCTATATTTGGATTTGAAGTCCATTTACTATACATAACTCTTGGATCATTTCTTTATCTACAGAAAGTAAGACCCACTACTATCAAGGTAGCTTTAAAGTGCTGAATATGCCATATAATAGAAATTATGAAAAAGAGACATCACCAGAAAATAACTACCTTAGTAAAATCCTTGAAACTAAAGTAAGTTAGTATTTTCCTACGTTTTTGTCTCCTTGTTAATTCTTTGAAATATAAACATATTATTAGAATATATAACTTAGAATTTGATGTTTGACTCTATATTCTTTCTTTCCAGATGGTTGATGCATTTCAAAGTTCTAACATTTACAGGCAATATATCAATTCTCAAGTCATCACACTGGTGTAAGTAACTCACATCAAACATCAGAAAAGAGATTAAACCATCTCACTTCAAGTTTACTTGTAAAAAAGAAACTATTAATATATTATTCATTAGCTAACAAATTACTAATATACAATGTTGTCATAAATATTAAAACTAATTGTCCAGTTTAAAACCAAGTAAAAATTGATGCTAAATTCTTGATTTGATGGTCCTACTAGAGACTAATGTTTGATTCTCTTAACAATTTTTTTTAATGTAGCATATAGATTCTTTTCTCCCATCTTTCTATTTGCAAGTCAGCTATATACCTGTGGAACTGCTCCTGGGGTTCTTCAGACACAAAGTAGAAGCATCTACACCAGGCTTTGTTCCCTGCATATGGGTTTGGAGTAGCAAAGAATAGCAGAAAATAGTGCTAGAATAGGAATTAGATGATCTGAGCCCAACCTTTGCTATTTAGTAACTGTAAGCCTTGGATGAGTCACTATGTATGTTGAATCTTTTTCTCTATCTTATAAAGTTTTAATGATAACACTTGTCTTACCTTACTTACAAACTATACTCAGAATCAAGAATATAATGTGTGTGAAAATGTTTGCAATTAAGCAAATTTAAAATAAAGGTGTGTTTTTAATTGTTGCTTTTACTTTCACCAATGCTACCAATGTCTACCTTTCTTCTGCTGTCCCTGGACTCATGTGACTCCTGGAACTGCAGAATGGATTGAGGTTCTAATTAGCTTTTAATTTTAGTATTGGAGAGAAATGGAAAACTAAAATTTAAGGCCCACATACATCTCAGAGGTGACTGTAATCACTAGAGGACTTCTCTGCTTTGGTTTCCTATGCCTGTAACTTCAGGTATCTGTGGGCAGCATGGGTCAAAATGAAGTGACAGAGAGGCCATAGGATGGATCTTTATACATTGGCATGCACTGCTACAAAAGTCGAACTTATTTAAGCTGAGCATTTCCTAGGAAATATTATTGCTACAGACACTAAAATATCAAGTATTCCTTAGAAAGACTCAAAGCGTAATAATGACACTCCTGACACCAGCCTCAGGGCTCCTTGATAATTCCTACATGTCCATTAGCTAGTGCTTCAGGCCAAAGCCCTTTTCCCAATTCCAAACAAATCCTCCTTTAATACCACAGTCAGATTAATCTTCAGGTGCATTTTTACCCAATATCCCCTATTACAGATTCAGCCTTGACCCTCCTCAATCTATGCCCAACCTCTGAATTACTAGCCAGACAACACAGTACATTGTGGAAAACGCCCACATTATCAAATCAATGCACTCAATGTAACACATGAATTTCTTTGTGGAAGGAGGTATTTTTTTGAGTTAAGGTCTCACTATTTAGCCCAGGCTGCCCTTGAACTCACTATGTTAGCCCAGACTGGCCTCAAACTCATTATCCTTCTGCCATAGCCTCCCAAATGCTGGGATTGCAGGCAGCACCACCATACCTGGCTTACCACACTCACTATAAATCCAAGTTTAGTAGTTGCCTATTCTTGAGCACATTGTGTATCCTCTCAGAGCCTCAATTCACCCTTCTGTATAAAATAAGATAATGATACTTATGCTGCAGTATTCTTGTGGAGACAACAAAATGTGTCCTAATATATGTGATAACAAAGTACTGGGAACACGACAAATACCCAATAAATGCTACTTAATATTATGGACACCCTGTTATTCTGTAGTAGGCTCCCTCTTCATCTCTACTTGATGATGAAATAGCAATAAAAACACCATAAGGTCCAATCTGTGGATCTGTTTTTCCATGAAAAATTCTCTGCTCTCTTTGGGTAAGAAATGGTTTATCCTTCTTCAAAGTATCACAATTAGGATGAATATCTTGCTGCTTCTGTCTCATTTGTTATAGTCATTTGTATACATGTCTCATCTCTCCTAAATGTCCAGAAATTCCCATAGAGTAGGAACTGTACCTTAGTAGTCAAACAATAGCACCTAGCTCAGGTGTATATAAAACAATTGATGAATGTGAAAATAAATGATTCCGGGTCTTTGGTGATATCTTTACTCTTTGCCTCAGGCTTTTCCTATTTTTTTCAGATTTGCAGAATGCTTGTCCTCTAAATTGAATAATACAGCTGCATGGATTCTATCATCACACAAAATGCTGCAGATGCTGGTCTCATGCTTACCCTAAAGTAAAGTTACTGCACAAATCCATGAAAGCAAAAGAGACCAAGATAGGAAATATTAGGGTATTAGGAAAGCAATGCTATATTTAGTAATAAATCAAACTTTCATTTTTCCAGTCCTGATAACAACAGTGTAACAGCACATATATGGCTGATATTCAAGGATTCCAGATCAAGGAAGGAAAGCACAAGAAGAAAAATAGAAAGCATCTTACAGCAGATGCTGAGAAGCAACTCAGGATCCTTGACTACAGATCCCAATTCTCTTAGCATCATGGGTAAGCTCACTTATTAGATGAGAGCAGTGTTATTTCATTATTTTGCCCTCAACATATATTACAAACACCAGACAAAACCTGAGATTCAGTGTATTTCTAAATGAATTCCATTTTATATCAGAGCAAATATTTGTATTCCTCATTATTAAAAACACATTCACATCACAATAATGCACACTTATTATTCAATTTGGTCGAGGAAGGACTGCTTTTCATGCTAAAGAAGATATTAATAGCTAATATTAATTAATAATTAATTAAATAATTAATATCAAGTACTAACATTACTACCTAATATTAATATTTGATATTAATAAATGAATATGGTTGATGTATTTTCTATACAAGAATGAATATAGAATTTTTAAACCTGTTGAAATCATAAGAAGGGGATTAAGACAGAAAAGAGAAAAACAGAGGGGGTGAATCAATTTGTGTTATAATACATATGTATGGAAATGAAACTCTCTGTATAGCTATTTTAAACAAACAAAAATGTCTTTTTTAAAAACTGGAGAACAGGAAGGTAAAACAGGTCCTGTCTGGGGTGGGTACCTGTGGGAGGGGGGATGTAAGGAGTGCGTGTAGGAGGTGAACATGGTGGAAATATGTACTCATGTGTGTAAATGGAAATGAATAGTTGACACTATTCCATGGGGAGAGAAGAATGATGGAAGGGGTGAATTAAACTGTGGTATATTGTAAGAACTTTTGTAAAGGTAATAATGTACTCCAAGTACAACAAGGATATGATAATAAAAAGTTAAGTAAAAAAGAAAATATTGGAATTGTAATTATTAATAAAAACGCATTCAAGTCACAATAATTCCACACCTACTACTTGGTTTGGGTGAGGAAGGACTGCTTCTAATGCTAAAGCAGATATTAATACCTAATATTGATTAATACACAAATTAATGTTAAATATTAGCATCAATACTTAAAAAGCCACTCACTACTAAATATCAATACTAATAAATTAATATAATGAAATTTATTGAATAAATTTGAATAATCAATTTATTCAATAAATATATTAATTAAATTTATTAATATCAATAGATTAATTAATACTTGCATGTTAATATTAATGCTTCACACAATCCTTATAAATAACAGTGTGTTTTGCTTTTCATTTCATGATCTCCTATAACTTTCAGAAATAGCATTGGATCTGCTACTATAAAACATCACTTTTTTAAAGTTATTTTTGTATGTTGACAGGAATCAGGTTCACTTGTAGGGAATTTTTATTCTTAGAGAAGAGACTCATAATTTTCCACTTTAGGTGATGTAGAATACAATTCAAAGTAAGTAAAAAAAGAAGTCTTCACGTGGAACTATGAAATAGTATTTCCATATAATACATTCACATATGGCAAAAGAAAACTTCCAATAAGCCAATGTTCTCTCATTTTTATTGATGCTTTATCCTGATTTGCTAAATTATGTCTGGAACCTCTTGCTTTCTACTACCTTTTTCTCCTTACCCCAGAATCAGCTAGGTATTAAATTTACTCTGAATTTTTGTTCTGTTTCAGAAATCAGTAAAGTCAATGCTGAAAAGATTATCAACAACCGTAAGTTCAAATACTTTTTATATTAATTATGAAAAATCTAAATCACAACAGTCAAGATTGTTACTCTTGAGCAGGCACAGTTCTAAGTGCTTTATATATGATAACTCATTCAATCTTCATAACTATCACAGAGATAGATATGATTACAATCCCATTTTAGAAATGAAGAAGCTGAAGCACAAAGAAGTGAAATAATTGCCCAGATTAATCCAGTTTGTAACCAGTGTATTCAGAATTCAAACTCAGGGAGACCGGTTGCAGAGTCCATGGACTTAACCATGACTTTGCCTCTTACAGTTTATATACTCTCCCTGTGCTGAAAGATCTCACAGTTACTATGCTGAGTAGAAAGACAATCTAGAGGCTGTTAGTGGTTCCTGTATGGATTACATTCTGTTCCTATTAGTGCAAGATTATTTTCAGTATAGCCATACAAGGACAATTCAACTTACTCTCTGCATTGTAACCAAATAAATGTTATCTTTCTATTTTCAATGGGAGAAAAGTGACCCTTTCTTTCAGGCTGTGGGAGACGAGCAAGGATGTCTGCTACATATGACAGAATCAAAGGAGGTTCCACTGCTCAGGAAGGAGAATGGCCATGGCAAGCAAGTCTCAAAATGAATGGCAGACACTACTGTGGGGCATCACTGATCAGTGAGAGATTTCTGATAACTGCAGCTCACTGCTTTCAAAAGTGAGTCCATCGTGTTTCCCAAGGCTAGGGAGACCTGAGGCTCTGGGCCAGTCCCAGTTTGAACCCATTTTCCCCGCTCACATTCTCTTTCATCTTGAAAGGTGTCCTAACTTGGAAGACAAATTATCTGGTAAGCCTAACTAAGCCTTTCCTACCTTACCAGTAAGACTGGAAAGAATCATTTACTTTTGGTGCTACATTTTTGTCTTACATGAATCCTATCTGTCATCATTTTATACTTGAGATCCTAAACTACTTGTAGGTGCTAAAATGTAACATCCTGGTTCATTCCTTTCTCCCTCTCTTCACATGTCTGCCTCACTCTCTTGGTCTCTTAGGCAACTATGATTCAGCCCTTTTTAAAATGCTACTTTTCCTAAGAAATTTTTCTTAGCATATTTTCTTTTTATAAACATATAGATTTAAGCTCTCCTATTTAGAGACCCTGCTAATTACATGCAAAAGCATGTAAACAGTAATTATAATTGCCTGTGTTTACATTTCTCTTTCGTTAGATTTAAGTCTCTTGAGGTCATGTGCTATTTTCTGTCATTTGTCTATCTCTGCTGCCTTACATAGTGTATTGTGAAGGGACTCAAACAAGGTTTTTTGAAAATGAATTTAAAAATCAGAGTATTTCATTGCAATGAACTATAGAGCAAGGAGACATTAATGCCATGAGCTATGTACCATAGAAGCAGAATTTCTGCCAGTTTCCTTAGAATGCAGTATTTCAATTATTTTGAAATAAATAAAAATACATTATTTTTGTTTCTTTAGGTCAAACAATCCAAAAAACTTTACTGTTAGCTTTGGTACTAGAGTAACTCCACCCAATAAGCTACATTATGTTCAACAAATTATTATTCATGAAGACTACATCAAGGGTGAACATCATGATGATATTGCAGTTATACTGCTTACTGAAAAAGTTTTATTTAAAAAAGATGTACATCGGGTTTGTCTTCCTGAAGTCACACAGGTTTTCCCACCAGGTGAAGGAGTTGTTGTTACAGGATGGGGAGCACTTTCACATAATGGTAAGTTCAGTAAAAACTTAACATGTGATGTAAGGTACCAAAAGCTATAAGAAAAGCTAGCAATCTAGGTCCAGGTCCAAGGCATCACTTACTTCTGGATGCCTAGTACTCTCAGGTGGTCTCTCAGGGAAAGTTGCATATGGAGTTAAGACTGCAAATTGCCTCAGATTGGAATATTTCAAGAAGGCCAGTTTTGGTACAGAACCTCCCTTATCTGGAGAATCTAATTGGATGGTTCTAGCCCAAACGGTTAAGAAGAAAGATAAGGACTTTGAAAGGCAACATTTAAGTGGAATTATATTTTAAGTATTTCTTTTTCATTGGTTTGAGTGAGGGAACTGAGTGGAGTTTTTCATCTTAAGATGCAACAGTCAAGTATAGGTTTTACGCACAGAGAACACAGCAAGATTTTTGTACTGCTTGGTATTAGCAGCTCTGTTGCTGATAATGTTTGTTTCCTTTAGGTAAATACCCATTGTTACTTCAGAAAGCACCTGTGAAAATTATTGATACAAACACTTGTAATGCTGAAAAAGCTTATAATGGTGTGATACAGGACACAATGTTATGTGCTGGGTATATGGAAGGAAATATAGATGCATGCCAGGTAATTCTGGACAGTATTCATATTAATTACATAGTATATAAGTAGCTGCTCTTACTTTATGAAAATTATTAATATGGAGACATGTATATGTTTCAATTAATTTGAACTTTGACAGTCCTATCATGTTTCTCTGAGCTGTGGCATCAAAGTAATTCTGCTCTACACGCAGTATGTGTTTATTAGTTTTAACAAACATTTATTTTAGATTTACTCTGTGCTAGATCCTTTTCAAATATTAATTTATTTAATCCTCATCTCAGTCTTATGTTTGTAGGTGCTACCATTATTCTCACTTCATAGGTGAGAAAACTGAGACAGAGGAGCTTTAAGAACCTTGCAAATGGTCACACAACTAGTACGTGGTAGAACTGGCATACAATCCCAGACTATCTAACATCATAGTGCATCCTCTTAATCATATTTCAATAAAGGATCTATCTCAGAGATGTTTTAATTACTTTCAGCTCTTTCTCAAATTATTCCTAACTCTTATTCCCTTGTCTCCATGGTTAGAGTTCCGGCTGCTTTTCTCAGATATGAAACTGAATTTTATGTATATTCGTATTAGATGTCTCTCAAATCTTTCTCATAAAACTAGAGTTTGTAAGTTATCAGACCACATCTTCAAGTTCAAGTAAAGGCTAAAGAGTCCCAGGAAATGTATGCTGGTCAGTCACAGTTGAGGTTGGGAAGATACAGGGATTTACCTCATACAACTTCCTATGGTCTTTATGAAGTACCAACCCTTTACAAACTTCACCTGGGCATATCATTTCCTGAAAGTAAAGTATCTAAAAAGAAATTGTTATAATGATAAATGTCCTTTGCTTTATTTAGGGTGACTCTGGAGGACCACTGGTTTATCCCAATTCTCGAGATATTTGGTATCTTATTGGAATAGTGAGCTGGGGAGATGAATGTGGAAAAATCAATAAACCAGGAGTCTACACACGAGTGACTTCCTACCGCAACTGGATTGCCTCCCAGACTGGTGTCTAAGAGAAAGGCATATTGTAGTAATGAATGCAGAACATTTTTGTTTTTTATTTCATACTCTTAGCATGCTTTTTAAGTTAGTGTGCATAGTGGATGTTTTGAAAGAATTATGGCCCTTAAGGGATTATTTATGAGCTTTTATTTTAAGAAGACTCAGCAAGACAAAATAAGAAATCTCAATTTTTTGGTTCAGAAAAGCCTAAGCCAAGAAAGTACTCCCAACCAAAATACCAATATAATATTATTTGTTTTCTGTTTCATTAACCCACATCATGACTCTCTCATCACAGCATAAAGCTCGTGATTTTTGTCATTCAGACTCTGTAGAATTTTGAAAGTATGTTCTTGTTCATGGCAAATTAGAAGGTGGCATGGTGAGAGATTGGAACAACATCCTATGGGGGCTATGTTGGAACAGGCTGTATCTGCTTTCATGTCACAGCTTTTGTGGAAGATGTGCAGTTGTGGATGAACCCATTTTGAAAGGTGGTATTGAGCTACAATCTCTTATTTGTACTGGGGTGTTGACCAGTCCTTGCAATCATTGTGAAAGAGTTTAACCACAAATAAAAACAGGTACAACACACTTAAAATTTACAGAGACCAAGTACAGTAATTCTTCAGGTTTAGTACAGGTTAGTACAGGTTTCTGAGGAAATTCCGTATTTGTGGCACATTTTGAAAAATCAGGTATAAACCAAGAAAATATGTGATGTATTTTAATTAAACAAAGTTAAAAACAGACTAACTTTGTTCAATAACTGGTTTATTTTTCTTTTTGGTCTTAAGAATTTGTAGGTAGCTTCTTATTTTTCCTTCTTTGTGTGGGTATAGAGGGGTATTTCTAGTTTCACTTGAAATGCATAAGACACAGCTCAGGTTGGGCCCTTCCAGCCTGTGACGTTTGATCATACAGTCATCCATATTTTGCATGAATGTCAGCTTTTTGGTCCAGGAAGTAGTTCAAGAACTAGTTTTCTTCTCCCTCAAAATACAGATTTTTACACTTTCTACCTATAACTGTTTTCCACTTAACAAAAATCTGGAACGTGTATATATCATATATAACCATATAATGTAGTTGTTCCAAAATTTCACATATTCACTTTGAAATGGTATTGTTCATTCTTTTATATTACATCTAATCCCAATTTCTCCAATTATTTAAAGACAATACTCTTAAAATAGACTGAGCATATTAAATTGCAATTACTGTATACTTTGATATTTAATAACTTAGTCATAATTAGCACCACATGTATTAGTCATCATCATAACAATAAATAAAACAATGATGTTTAATGCTCATTTAGTTCTTATTGTTTATCAGGCACAGTTCTTTTTCTCCTTTATTGTTGTGATGGGTGGGGTATTGTGGCATTTACACAGGTTCTTGCAATGTATTAAATATGTCATACATGAATTCACCTCCTCTTCCATTCTCCTTCTTCTCCCGCTCCATGATTCCTGGAGTAGTTTCAACAGGTATTATTTTTGTATTTGCATATATGTGTACACATATTTTACACTGTATTCACCCTCCTACCCCCTTTTTCCAAATACCTCTTCCTCCTATTGGTGCCAGTCCTCACCCCTGGGCAGGACTTGTTTTGCCCTCCTGTTCTCCAATTTTGTAGAAGAAAAAAGAGAAAAGATAAAATGAAAAACTTGGCATTTTAGCCTTTTAAGATAAAAGTAGCTACACAGGAAGTTTCCTTGTGATATTTCTATGTATATATATGCATTATAACTCCAATTGGTTTATCTCCTCTAATCTTCATTTTAATTAGTCCCCTTCTTATGATAGTTTTAGTCGGTTTAAGATTCTAAATTCATTCTTATATAGAGAATATATCAACTCTATCCAAGTTCTTAGTTTTCCTAGCCTTACCATGCATGACCTCCCTTAGTATGATCTGTTTTTCATAATATTGCTGCATTCGTATTAGTCTATATTCCGCAGATGAGAGAGACATGCAGTTTTTGCCTTCTGAGTCTGGCTAACTTCACTTAAGATGATGTTCTCCAGTTCCATCCATTTACCTATGAATGACAAAATTTCATTCTTCTTTGTGGCTGAGTAAAATTCCATTATATATAAATACCATATTTTCTGAATCCATTTGTCAGTTGTGGGACATTTTGACTATTTTCATAACTTAGCTATTGTGAATAGACCTGCAATAAACATTGGGTGTTCAGGTGCCTTTGCTGTAAGATAACTCACAATTTTGTGGGTATATCCCTAGGAGTGGTATTGATGGATATTATGGCAGTTCTATTTTTACTTTTTTAAGGAGCCTCCATACTGTTTAGCATAGTGGTTTTATTAGCTTACATTCCTACCAGCAGTGTATGAGGGTTCCTTTTCCCCCACATCCTCACCAACACTTGGTTGTCGTGTTCTTGATGGCAGCTACTCTAATAGGAGTAAGGTGGAATCTTAATGTGGTTTTGATTTGCACAAAGGAAGGTGAGAATTTTGATGTGTTTTTTAGCCATTTGGATTTCTTTCTTTGAAAAGGCTCTGTTCAGTTCATTTGCACATTTGTCATTGATTTTTTAGGGAGTTTAGTTTTTTTAGTTCCCCATATATTCTGGTTATCAACCCCTTGTCATATGTATAGCTGGAAAAGATTTTCTCCCATTCTGTGGGTGGCCTCTGCAACTTAGAGACCATTTCTTTTGTGCAGAACCTATTTAATTTCATGTAGTCCCATTTGTCAATCCTTTCTCTTAGTTTGACTTCTATTCAGGAAGTCATTGCCTATGTCTCTTGCTTCCAGTGTATTCCCTGCTTTTTCCTATACTAGCTTCAAGGTTTCAGGTCTGATATTAAGTAATCCACTTTGAGCAGATACTTGTACAGGGTGATAAACATGGATCTAGTTTCAGTTTCCCCAGCAACATTTGTTGAAGAGGCTGTCTATTCTCCATCATATGTTCTTTGCACCTTTGTCAAAAATTAGGTGGGTATACCTGTATGGATTCATATCTGGGTCCTCTATTCTGTTCCACTGGTTTTCAAATCTGTTTTTGTGCTAGTACTATGTTGTTTTTATTGCTATGACTCTGTTTCATAGTTTGAAGTCAGGTATATGTTACCTCCAGTGTTGCTCTTTTTGCCCTGGCTAGTCACAGTTTTTTTGCCCTGGCTATTCACAGTTTTTGTGCTTCCAGATGATCTTTAGGGTTGATTTTCAACCTCTGTGATGAATGTCATTAGGATTTTGATGGCAATTGTGTTAAACATGCAGTTTGCTTTTGGTAGTATAGCCATTTTTACTATGTTGATTCTGCTGATCTATGAGCATGGGAGATCTCTCCATCTTCCGTAGTCATAGATTTCTTTCTTCAGTGGTTTGTAGTTTTACTTGTAGAGGTCATTCACATCCTTTGTTAAGTTTATTCCTAGTTATTTGATTTTTTTGGAGACTGTCATAAATGGAATTATTTTCCTATATTCTTTCTCAATCTGTTCATTGTTGGTGTATAGAAAGGGTACTGAATTTTGTAAGTTGATTTTGTATCCCAATACTTTGCTGAAGCTGTTTATGGCTAGGAGTTTTTTGGTGGAGTGTTTGGGTCTATTTTAGGCACAATTCAAATGACTTTATCCCAATTAATTCTCTGTCCATTCTGTGAAGCATACTGTTATTACCCTAAATTTTCAGAGAAAGAAACTGAAACACAAAAGGGTTGATACCCTTGCTCAAAGATGCAAAGCAACATCCCTGCTACCTAATCCTGTCATTCACAGAAGTCCATGGTAGGGAAAAACATTGACCAAAGAAGTTGGCAATTCACAATTTTTTCTGGATTTTTCTTCATTGGTATCATTTTTGTTTGTTTATTGCTTGCTTCATTGTTCTGAAGAGTGAAAAACTCCTCATAGCTTTGGGTAATACCTAATACTAGCAAGAACTCCACACTGGGAAATGATACAAACATTATTTTCATAAAAGGTATTTATATTTGTAGAATATTTTATATGACTCACTTGAGCATGTATAGAAATGCTCTCTGGATCAAGGCCTGGCAAGATTAGCTTGACCACTCCAAAACAATTCAAAATCCAAAAACTTAAGTGTCTATATTCTATCATGTTACTTACATGTTGTTCCTCTTCCTCTCTTTGCTCCTTTGTTGAATGAATTGCTGTTCTTGCAAATTCAATGCCATTTAAATTTTTCTCTAGCATCTTTCTTCAAGGACCTCACTCCTGATGGCCTCCTAGCTAGTCTCTGAAGTCTGTTGATTTACCAATGTATACAGTACAACTTTTTACATCTATCTTTTAAAGCCTTTGCAATACAAATTGCTTCTAAATTTCCAGTTTTGTCTGAAGATTCCTTCTTCAGCAATTCAACAGACACACAAGTTCTTGCATATAAAAACTAGTCTTGTAACAATTCAAAAATAACACCAGGTCATAAAATTCCAATAGATTTCTTGAGGGTATATTTCCTGGTGTTTACTAATATCCCTAGCCACTTATACCAGTCATCTCTTCTTTTTATGTAAATTGTAAGAAGCACAGATGTTTGAGTCATATATTTGTAACACATGTTTGAAGTCACTAAATCCAAATTTCTTTGCTTAGGATGACTGACAGCAAGGGTCTTCTTACTCCTTGGTGCTTTCAGTGCATTTGGCTACTGAAAATTTAAATATATAAGCATATGGATAGATAGTACTCACATAATTTTTGGTAAAAATTTCCTAGTATAGCTTTATCCTTGTCAGCAACTCCAAATATAATTAGAGGATATGCCTATTGCCACATATTTATTTTGAGACGTTAATTTAAAAATATATGTCATGTAATGCTCTCCAATTTTAGTATTTCAACTGCGTTATAATTGCTGGCATATAGAAAAATATTGAGGTACATGAATACTTTGCAAATACTACAGGTGAGTTATAGACCAGCACAATATACTAGATATCCTAGTAAAGTAGGTCACATGAATTTTTTGTTTTTTCAGTGCAAATGAAAGTTG